TCTACTTGGAATGTTTTACAACAACAACTCTGTCGTGTTGTCTCCTATTTCTTTACCACTGGTTTTATGCCTAACCAGACCAAAGCAACTACCATTGCTCTGATTCCAAAGCAAAGTCATGCTAGCAATGTGAAAGATTATAGACCAATTTCCCTTTGTAATGTTATTTACAAAATCATTGCCAATATCATTTCGAATAGATTGAAGACAGTTTTACCCCACATTATTCATCCCAGTCAAGGTGGTTTCATCCATAAAAGCATTATCTCCGATCATATTCTTTTGGCCACTGATATCCTTGGTGGTTTTAACATCAAAGCCAAACACAAGTATTTATGTGCCAAGTTTGATATTACTAAAGCATTCGACATGGTGTCTAGAGACTTTCTTTATAAAAGATTAAAAGACAAAGGCTTTCCTGATTTGTTTATCTCCTGGATCAAAGCATGCACCACTAATGTTCACTTCTCTATTTGCATAAATGGGGTGCTGGAAGGATATTTTAACTCCACCTCTGGAATCATGCAAGGATGCCCACTGTCTCCTTATCTCTTTACTATCATTATGGATGGACTCTCCTCTTTATTCGATCTAGCTACTGCGAGCAATACACTTCAAGCCATCAAAGCCGGGAGGTGTGAGGTTTCCCATCTTATGTTTGCTGATGATCTTCTTGTGTTTAGCATTGCTACCACGAGAAACGCCCATGCTATTAATTCTATTCTGAAAGATTTTGCTGCTGTCTCTGGCCTTAGTGTGAACCCTCTTAAAAGCTCTATTCTTTTATCCAAAAACACCACAGTTGCTGATGAAATCTGTAATATACTCAATATTCAACAGTCCACCTCTCCTATTAAATATCTGGGTTTGCCTATTTTCTATAGAAAGCTGAGATTGAATGACTTCAACCCACTAATTCAAAAAATTACCTCTCAGCTAGAGGGTTGGAAGGCTAGACTGTTATCATTGGCTGGGCGTGTGAAATTTATCAAATTCACTATATCTAATACGCTGGCTTACTGGATTCGCGGTTCCATTATGCCCAAGGGTTGTTGCAAACTTATTTCTAGGCTGTGTTCTAGATTTACTTTCTTTGGCAACATTAAGGATAGGAAACTAGCTACTGTTTCCTGGAGTAAAACTTGTTGTCCTAAAATTTATGGGGGTTTGGGCATTCCCTCTATTAATTCTCTTCATCATAGTTATGCTTGCTCTACCATTTGGAGATTTTTAAATGCTGATTCCCTTCTCTTTTCCTGGTGGCGTGCTAAATATAATTCTTTCTGGAAACCCAAGGCCAATAAAAATTCTCATTACTGGGATTATCTGTGTACTAAAGCCAATGAGATTAAAGGCTGTATTACTTTCACTGTTAATGCTTGCAGCAACCTGTCATTTTTTTGGGACCCTTGGTGTGGGGGAAAATTTGTTGTTGACTATTTAATGAGTACGAATATTGTCAATTTCTCCTCTCTGTATGACTGCAATGTTTCCCAGCTAATTTTGGGTGATAGCTGGAACCTTCCTAATAGCTTTGATAGCAGAATGGTGGCTCTTATTCATTCTGTTTCCATCGACAATTCTACTGAGAATCATTTCTGGAAAAATAAGCAAGACCCTACCTTTAGAGATTTTAATTCTCAGTTTTATGCTAATTTGAATGCTGTATCTTGGCATAAATACATTTGGCATAAGCATAATGCCCTACGCTATTCGATTTATGCTTGGATGATGTTTCATGGTGGTTTAAAGACAGCAGATGTCCTTGCAGTCCGCGGCATTTTTGTCCCTAATTCCTGCTGCTTTTGCAACAATGATATGGAAACTATCACTCACCTTTTCTTTGAATGTAGCTACACTTTTGAGATTGTCAAAGTTACTTTCCCCTGGATGCATAATCTGTTTATGAGACCTAATTACCACCAGGTTTTTAATAACATTTGGGAGCAAGGTTTCATTGCTAAGACTAGGAATATCTATCTCCTTAATGCTACTGCCACGATCTACTTTGTTTGGAGAGCAAGAAATGATAGATTATTTGGAGGCATTATTGACAGTAAAAACACTATTATTGCTAAAATTAAGAAAGCCGTGTTGTTAAAATCTTTGAGATGGAAACATTAATGTTTTTGAAATTTGGCGGTGGGGAGATTCTGGTGCTCCGGTCTTTTGTCTGCTCTTATCTGCTTGAGCCAAAGTTCTGCGGTGCAGTCAGATTTGCTGGTTGCGGGGAAAAAAAAAATTTGGAAGGACGATGATGAATGCTGATATGTTTCAGCTGCCCCTTGGACGGTCTTTTGGGCAACCAGGGGCTTTGCTCAATTTTTGTCCCTTCGTGTTTTTGACCCTTCGAGAATTTGAGCTTTTTCTGAGTCCTTGGCATTTTGCCTATTAGTTTTTTGGGTTTCTTTACTTCTAAATTTTATTTTCTTTTCTTTAGAATCCTAAATCTCTTTTGTTGTTTGAGATTTCTGGATTATAGTTTTGTTCCTTACTTACTTGTAATCCTTTACATTTAGCAATGAGATGGGCATTATGCCCCAAAATTTCCCAAAAAAAAAAAAAAAAAGGTGAAGCAAAAAAAAAAAATTATAGAAATAGAGCATAAAAGTTGATGATTTTTATAATTATCTTAATTTTTATCTGGAATTGCAAACTATAGTAATAATTTTAATTTTTTGTATTTAAGTTATTATATAAAGACAATTTTTTATTTTTTTAGTTCAAAAAATTTGTGTACTAAAAAGTAATAAGAAAAGTGTTCAAAAAAATTTGTCTCACTTGCATATTGATTTATGCTCAAATGTTTTTGAACTTTTTCTTATTATATTAAAAAAAATAGTCTCACAATATCATATTCCTCTATTTACTTCATCAATTGTTATAATTGTTGTATAAAATTGATCACAATTTTAGACCCTCGGCTTTATATAATTGCTTCTAATTTAGTTACAATAGATCATTTTGAATTAATTTTGTACAGTCAAATAACTATTTTGAAAATTAAATCATATTAATAAAAATCTCGCTATATTTATGATTTTTTTTTAAATGTTGCTATATTTAATTAAATAATTAACTAATTAAAATTGAATATTTAATGACAAGTTATTAAAAATAAAAATTTTGATTATAAATAATCTTAAACATATAACATTATTTTAAAAAAATTCCTTAAACTTTCCAACCTAAATTCAAAACATCTGAGTTCTTTGCATGTATAATTTCTTTTTTTTAGCTTCCTTATACACAATGAGTTTTGTGTATTCAAATAAAGTGATTTGTGTCTTATTTATTCTAATAGAGAGGGAAATTGTGTTTATGCTCTAAGCCAAGGCCAAGGGCTTCACAAATCACAAGAGACAGCTAAACGCTATGATAGGGTGAGTTGGTTCATGTTGGGCTTTATAAATAGCTTGTGAGCCTAGTTCGATGAGCTAAAGATTTTTTTTTTTTTTTGGGGGGGGAAAAAATTTTTTTTTTTTTTTTTTTTTTTGACATTTGGGCCATTAAGGCAAACTCACACACATCTCATATGCAAGTTTCAAATTCAATATCTCTTGATTAGTAGCCAAAGCCCTCAATCAACATACCAAATTGAGCTACGTCTAAAGAGTCATATTTGAGGTAGCATCGACTCAACTTGTTACATCATGAGTCAACACGTTTAAAAAGTATTACTAAAAAAATATTATTACAATATTTTAGAGTTCAGCAGTTAAAATATATATTTTTACAAATATTTATCTTATTTTCTTATACTAATTAATTCTTTATCGTTTGACTTCTAATTTTTCATTTTTTTTAATAATTTTATTATTATTATTTTCTCTCTTCATGAGCTACTTGAACTTGTAGAATTAAGCTCCAGCTCAATCAATTAATTAGGTTTTACTTGAAACCACTTTTTTATTGATTTTTGAAGCAACTTTTAAGTACAAAAATATATTGTTCATAAAATCTTTGTACTAAGGGTCTGTTTGGTTGCATGAAAAGAGAATGCAGTGTAAAATAAATGCAGTGTAAAATAAATATAGTGCATTCTGAATACTTTGCGCCTGTTTGATTGTCTGCGAAATAAACGCATGAGAATTGTTTCTCTTGTTTGGTTTGGTAGATCCAGATTAAAGTAAAAGTGGTTTTTTTATAATAATTTATTCTAGCATTACAACTAGTGTATTTACAAAAAAAAACTGTATTTATAATAATTAGTATTATTTGATGTTAGAAAATATAAATCAATGTATTCATTTATTGCACGATCTTATTATATTTTTTTTAGATTATAAGATATAAAATTATGCTGTGTATTAATTTAGCATTGTGTTGCAATAGAAGAAAATATACATGTGTTATAGAGAAATTTTAATCTAGATTTCTTAGAAAATTTAATTTTTTTATGTTTCAAGTAATATTTTTACCCAAAAAAAATTCAATCGGATTCTTTCTTTAATTTAGCGAAAAAAGAAATTGTTTTCGTTTAGCAATCAATTAAATCACATGATATACATAGTCTTTAAATCCTTGGGCACTTCGCATATTTGCATTTACATATTTCATCATTATTTGAACAATCCAGTTATCCACTCGGGTTTGAAGCTCCATAAAATTTTTTTCCTCATGGGCTTTGAAGAACCGTTCATCTCTGTTTGTGACTAATTCATAACCAAATCCAAGAAATGACCAAACAGTCAATTTAACTACTGATTTTTAATTGAACTGCAAAGCAGTAGATATCAAACATGCACAAAAATAGTTGAACATGTAAAGGTTTCAAAGAGTTCCATTAGAAACGTCTGAACAAAAAATATGGACAGTTTAACTGGTTCTCCCGCCCTTGTTGTAAATTGAACGTTAAAACAAAACTATAGAAATTGTTGTGGTTGGAATTGCTAACCGATCAAGATTATGCTATTGGAATGCATGTTTATTAGACATTAACATCACTTGCAGAGAGTTTCATTAGCGTAGGATAGCTAACATACGTATATAAGTGAAAACTGCTTCATACTTGGGGATCCATCCAAAGTAACTTTTTCTAACAAGGTGAATATTTAATAAACATTATATATTTGACTTAAATAATCAAATTTTAGCTCATAATTGTACTGACAATTACATTAAAGCTGCAATACCATATGATTCAAACATAACCAATATAATAAATAAAAAACAAAAACTAGAACTTATTGCAGCCCAACAGAAAGCTTACTTATTCTACTAAACAGAGAAACATTCAGTCCAAATTTGCTCTGATATCTGTGGGTGGTCATGGTTATTGGGATGAGCCTCTTGATTCTGGAGAAATTTATGATCCTATTACTAACAGATGGGTAGAGATTGCTCGACTACCTGCAGCCTTTGGGCCGGTTTGCTCTGGCACTGTCTGCAATTGTATGTTCTATGTCTATTCTGAAACAGACAAACTTGCAGGATTTGATCTTGAGAAGGGCTATTGGATGATGATACAAGTTCACCGTCCTCCTCTACGGCTTCCGGATTATTACCCTAAGCTCGGGTCTTGCCGGACTCGATTGTTTATGTTGTGCGTATCCTGGTGCGACTATGATGGCCTGCTTAATAGGAGGGAGAAAGCTGTAAGAAAGATGTGGGAGTTAGATCTGAAGTCTAATTCATGGAGTGAGGTCTCCAGGCACCCAGATGCTCCCATGGACTGGAATGCTTCATTTTTTGCAGATCAAAACAAGATTTATGGTGTTGAGATGTTCAGAATATTTGGCCAAGTTTTGGACTTTGTCACTGCTTGCAATGTTTCTGACTCTGAAATCAAGTGGAGTAGAATTTCCAGGAAACATGCAGCCCATGAAGCTGATGCTTCTTCATGTATTACAAAGTTAATGCTGGTGATGAATCTCTGAGGTCAACCCAACCAAAGCTTTTGATGTCATTTTCTGCATTGAAATTTATCTTGTCGTATGACTTCTTGTTGTAGGTTGTAAGCAGAATCTGGTTTCATGGTTTTTATCTGTATCCAATATATTATTCATGAAAGCTATTATACATCAAAGAAATCTCATTTTGTAAGGATGTTATCCTAATGAAAATACACACTGCACTCAAAAAAAGATCAAAGTAAAGATATCTCATGTAAGATATGTTGTTTCAACATCAATTTATTTATAATTACCAATCAGTGAGTTGATATAGATACAGATAAAACTATATTACAAGGTGCTAAGCAATCACTTTCATTATATCCTACTGGGTCTGGAAACTTTTTGGTTGAATCTGAACTGACTAATGAAGACAAGCAAAATAAAATATCTGTGAGAACAAATTGTTTTGAAGAGAACACCAACATTTCAGAGACCTCTTTTAACGACTCATCAGTATTCGAGCATAGACGTGCAAGGACACGGAGACGGCATTTTTTTTCAATTATTCCAAAAAAAAAATTCTCAGAAGAATTTAAGCAGGAAAAGTTCTAAGGTTTAAGATCATTGAATATGTTCAGCAAGCATTAATATAGACATAAAAGCGTCTCCTACGACTAACACTACCTAACAAAGAGTAGCGAAATGCCGGAGCCAAATCACTCTCGATTTCTTCAAGGCGCCAAAAAAAAAAATTCAGCCAAAGAAAAATAGTAAATACAGCTAAAAGGGCAAGATTTTGCATAAATGCACAAATTAAAAAAGCCCAACAAATAGATAACAACTCACCGGCGTCGAGCAAACGGACTTGGACATGATCACGGAGTCCATCTTCAAATAAATACCCTACAACAGAAGAAGCAACAAAAACAACGAGTATTTCAATGGAAGCACAACAAAAATCTCTCAGAAGCCATGCCAAAGTAAACGAGATCGAATTAACGGGATCTGCACTGGGATAAACCTAACAAGAGAAGGCAAAGGTTGATCATTGAAAGGTATTTGCGGAGAAGAGAAAATGGAATCGGCGAACAAGCGAAGCCGAAGAAGAAAGCCCTACCTCACGCGAATGACAACGAAGAGGAAAGCCCTACCTCCGTTAAATTGAAGATCCGTGAGGGTAAATTGATGATTTGGAACGGAAGGTATTGCTCTTCTGCGAGTTTTCTCCTCTCTCGTGCGAAGCTGGTTCGCAGTATTTTGCTCCAGAGGTTTTGTAACCCGCTCAATTTGAACGGTTTTTGAAGTCACGCGAACTGCCTGTCGAAATACACCACTTATGCTTCCGAGGAATTACTTTTGTTCCGCTCAAATCCAACCAAACAACCTAATTTATGAAATGCATGTAAATTAATTACTTTACTCTTCTAATACTGCATACCAAACAGCCCCTAAAAGGCTGCTTTAAGAAACAGCAACCAAACAAAGCCTTAGTCAAGCTCAAGATAATAATGACTTGAGTTCAGCTATAACTAGTTCACACCCCTAGTGGCAACAGCAGAGAACAGGAGAGAGAG